TTTCGACTTAGATCAACATAAATTTATGCTTTGTTTGCTAGGAGGAAGGATAAAGTGACTGTTTATAAATGTTTCTTAATTTAATTACGCTTGCTCAATATATAGTGTGAGTTTTATTATCATTAATAAATGCATCTGTATATGTTCCTATTAATGAGAGGCTGCCGTATTTAAAGGATTTCAGTGAAAGAAGTTTTCCAACTTTGGAAAAAGATTCATAATAGTAGAGAGACCAAGATTTTTCAAGAAAAAAAAAACAACTTACATTCAATATTTTCATATTTCAAGCCCCCTGCTATTTCTCTTCATTTTTGAGTTACTATTTGGTGTTTTACAACATTGCATTCATTCATCTACTCAAATGTACTACAGGCGATAAAACTCACCGAATCTATGTGTATGTTTTCGTGTAAGGGCTCAACGGTAAAATATTTGCCTACTAAACTTAGGGATATAGCCTAGCTTCGAAAGCTGGCAAACAAGCTTCATTTTATGTTGAAAGCCAGCCGTCTGAAAAAACTCTAACAGCAGCACAGAGCGTACCTTGAAACATTTATATAGATTTACAAGTATGCACCACTGGAATCGACAGTCAAACTAGATATCTGTATAAGTGTTATTTTGATTTTATGATACTATTTTTGGCTTTCTAATTATAATATATATATATATATGAAAAAAGGCCTAATAGACTCAGTCGAGTGCATGAAGCATGTTTCTTATGTTGCCTCATCTAGTTTTAACTTTAAGAGATACCCGTGTGTATGGATGTAGGCAAATAAATAAGAAACGTGTGAAAACAAAACCAGAATTGGGCAACGCACTTCACATTAGCGCTCCAGTTTCCTGTACTGTACTAACTCTGCAATTTTTTTTTACTCTGCAGGTGCCTTTTTTAAAGGACGCAAGTAAATACGTTAAAACTCGTTTAGTGAAAGCTTGAGTTGACTGCGCTAATACCCACTAAACCTGGCGATTCCAACCTGGTTAAGGTTTTTTTTCGGAACCTCTGAAGAATAAGCACAGCGAAACCGCGTTAAAATCACTTCAGCGCGTCTCTTATAATAAGGCCTCTTTCTTTTGGACATTGTTACAAAAACTGTGAGTTCCTCCTGAGACATTATTAAAAGGGGTTATTGAACCGGCCGCTCAGTCTGTTCGTTGTTCCTTCTGTGCCTTTCAAAGCCTCTCTCTTAAATGCAAAATAACTTTCTGAAATCATAGAGACCCTAAGACATCGTGCCGACCTAAGGTATTTACTGAGTTTTAGACGTATCGGTAGCTGCGAGCTTTCACTAGGTTTGCCTTCCCATACGTACTAATATTTCAAGCTGGGGATAAGCTCTGATAAAATCTGAAAGTTTTCATACTTATACATAATTATACTGCATCTTTTGGAAATATCTTGCGTTGCAACGACTGTCGTAATACAATTGTTGTAATTCCGTTGGCTTCAAATGCAATCTATCCGAACGGATTATAACACAGCTGGGCATAAACAAATCGGTAGAAACAGTCTAAATGTTCTAACCGGTGTGCCTAACATGTTTAATATCGCACATGGTACAACTATTGTTATGCATGAAGTTAATCGGCTGCTTTTTCCGTTTGCGGCCATTTGTTCTGAATGAAGCATTGTTACGGCAACGACTTTAGGCCAGTTAATGTTCTTGGGAGACCTGCAATACGTGGGTTGTTATTCAAAAGCTTTTCCGTAAAAAGCATCAAGTGGCAATGATAATGGCACGTTCGCTTCTCACAGCGTACCCCTGATTGCGTTGACTTCGGGCTTCTCATTTACTCCACTTTATACTCTAATGTTAGTTGATATGCGGTCAATAGCAACTCCTTTTTTATAGAATTCATTTGTGACGATCATCGTCGCTGCGCCCTCACCCTTGTAAGTTATCTTTCGATATGGTAAATTTTATTTGAGTTGCAAACGACGTTGTTAAACACGTAAGACCCAAGTCATAAAAATAGGTGAATAGACAAACAAGACTTACAACTCTGCTATTTGCCAAAGGTACAGAAATCCTCCAAGAGTGTACATCATCCGCGTTACATTAGTAAGATTTGCATCCGTCGAGTCGGCCACCTCTGAGAGCTTTTCTCTTTCCATGTCTAGAATTTTTTTATGGCCACAGATATGGATAACAAATGACTGCTGGAATGTATACAAATAGGGTATAGGAGCTCTAACCACTGAACAGTACGTTGGCAGTTTCCAATAAACAGCATGACCTACCACAATTTAATGACAGGCACGAAGCCTATGCCAAACCAAGCCCGTGGAACCGAAAACACCGCTGGACCTGCGGATCGACCACCAGTACGTCTAGCCAATTCCTGCTCGATTGTAGAGGGCGGGGAACGCCATCAAAGAGACCGCAAGAAGTATAGCATCACCGTTGGAGTTGTTAGCATCGATAATGGCACCAGGTTGCAGCTTGTGTGGTCGCCGGCGCTGGAATGGGGGCACGAAGGAGGTCTTGGTCGCCAAAGACTATTGAAGGCAGAAAGATCTTCGGACGTAAAGAATCCTTACGGATAAGGGAGGCTACACCCCCGCTGTACGGGGAGTAAGCCGTCATATACCATACAAAGTCGCTAAATTCAATTCGAAAGGAAAAGAACTGGGGACGTACTAGGACGATGAACGACTGTGTGAGCGGCCCGTTACCGACGCACAGTCGTAAGGGCTGTGGTCAGTTCGAAGACGTCTCAGCGAAAACGCAAGACCGTCATCACATTAAGTCGTAAAGGGTACGGTACTGACGACATACGAATGGTGCGTGGACGACTAGCTGGCAACGATGGCTACAAGTTATGACCGAGAAAACATACTATATCATAAAGCTAATTCCGTTGCTGCTAGGTACGCTATGCTACACTACGCTAAATACGCTACCCATGTTGTCAATAGCCTAATTCTTTACACTATCTAGCTAGGATGTACGATGGAATATACACGGAAGACACATTGAGTATGTATCGATCGACCTGCGTGCTGCAGAGCTCACATGTGTACTGCGTTTTTACTCACCTATCAATCGATCGATCGTCGCCGTACGATCAGCGGGCTTCAAAAACTTTAACATCGGTGTTTAACAAACCTGTACACATACCACAATTAAATGGAAGTTCTTGGCCAACTGAAGTAAGAACATGAGGTCATCAAATAACGCTCTCTTTCTGGTCTTATATTTTCAATGAACCACGTGAAGATAAACAATCCTAAAAAATTAAGGTTATTTTTATAGTAAGGATGGAATTATCTTCATTTTTCTTTACAATACTCGCTGACACGACATAAATGCTATACATTATCTAAAACGGATTCTAAAATCTGAGAATATATGCCGATTTCTAGCCTAAAATGACCCTCTTTATAGCAACTAATTGTATCATTAGACACATTTATTTTGGCACCAAAATGTTCTTAGAGTGCAATTTTAATTGTTCCAGAGCATTTTCATTTTCTATATCTTAAACGTTTCCTCACGAAGACTGTACCCTGTATTGGTGACATATACATTTATTTTACAATGTTGTTTTCTAGTTAATAGTAAATAGAGTAAGTGCTTAAGGTGCACACATAATGGTGGTCTAGATTCGAATCGAGTTGTAGGCGTACTTCTTTTCCTAGTGAAAGTTCCTAATGGAGACTAATGCCTAACGACGGTGCCATATCGAAAAATTTACTCCGATACTCGACCAAAACTGAAAAAACAAGAAAACTATTTACAGCAGACCTAAACAACGAACACAATTATATCTTTATCTATCTGATTTTCTTTAGGTTTTTAACATATTTTTTTAAATTTATTACTGTACAGAAAGTTTTTGACGCTTAATGCTGAAGTTTAGAGATGAGCTGTAGCAAACAAATCGACCTTATCAATATACTGCTTGTACCATTCGTGGGCGAGATAGAAAAACGCCGCATCGACGTTTGCGCCTTCTTTGGTCGAACACTCAAAATATCTTAGGCCAAGCTCACGGGCCATTGACTCTCCTTGGGCTGGGGTCACTGTCCGCCGATCTGCCAAGTCCGTTTTACATGCTACGAGCGCTCCTGTGATTTATACGTTCGAAGCCACACAAACATGTCAATAATGAGGTCAGGTTAGAACAGCTACATTGAAAACAACATTTGACAGTCATCGTTGATGCTCTCAATGATAATGCTGTGGGAGTTTGTTTTTGCATACGCGGCACCTAAGTACAGAATGAAGGTAGGACCCGTATCGAAAAATGTCAAAACTTTATTCAAGGTACATTGAAGTAAACATTTTACCGATCGGAAATGAGAGCGCAGTTTCGGGCCTGCCCGCCTACGCAGAGTAATGCTTACGTGCTAAGTAGGCTCGTTGTCAGATCTATTCTTCTAAATATATTTAAGTCTTAAGCATGAATAAGCTCACCGAATCACTCTTGTCTTGCACGTATCTATTTGTGACGAGACAAATCAACGTACAACTGGGAATAAGCTCCTCAAAATAAAAATCTTCGAACGTAATACAGAGCCTTTTATCCTCTATGTAGGTATAGGCAGAATCCCAAACATCCACTGTATTAGATTCAAGGATCGTGAATATTTGTTTGTACCCACCAAGTATGGGATGCTCCTGAATCGCTTTAATACATCTTGTATACCAGTCCTTTGATGCCCGAAAACTTCTATCTGACGTGACGTCGTAAGCAACAACCACAAGTGTCGCGTCTGTCCACTGAAATATATTAGTGAAAAAATAATTTTCTTAATTACTATATCAGGAACGAGTGCTTTTCACCGTATCAACCCTCGAGTCTCAGTTATAATTAGAAAGAGATAATAACAATAACGCTGTAACAAATCTGAATGCTCTGACCATTCTTTCTAGAAGATCCGCGTAGACTTTTTTCCCCGAACAATCGTGCACAAATATATCCTGCAATTTAGAACCGAGTTAAATTACTAGCATGTTGTACATTAAGAGTCCTAGACAATATATTTCGTTTAGAAATTAGATATGGTGGTTAAAAAAAAAACGCTGAAGTATGTGAATTGACAGCTTATTTTAGAAAAGCGTTACTGTGTAGCCCTACCTATATCCATACAGGTACTCAAATTCATATAAAAATAACATATATTCGATTTGGTAGAAGTGTGATCCTGATTCTGCATACACTATCTAGCGGGACAGCTTAGCGTATAATGCGCCGCGTTCACGCTGCCACGTACGTTCAATCCGCACTTATGGGCAGACCGCACCGACCCCACCCGTCTACAAAAAAATACCAACTTCTACACAATGCTTGCATTGTAGTAGGGGTAGCCGTAACCATTTCAACAAATTCTATAGTCAAATAACATGCAGCACTTCGCATCGGGGCTGATACTCCGCAATGCAAGCACGCTTTTCGTGGGTTCCGGCAACATATTATAGAAAGCCCCCTTCTGAACAACCCCCATGCTTCAGATCCCCGATAGTTCAGCACACAACGGCAAGTTAAAAGTCTTGCGTATGTTTCTGCTCACATAATCAAGCATCCTTTGTCTAGTGATGGCATAACGAGAACTGCTGCGAAAATGTTCTATCTTTCCTTCAATGACATTATTTACAAGCAGGTTGCATCACCACATTTTTAATTGTTGTCCTATTGCTCGCCTAATGACCGTCAGGCTACATAGAAGTCAGCGCGAATATTAATTCTGACACTTGCGTGTACTGACCTCTATCGCAACGAAAAGATGCTGCCCTCTGGGACAGATGTCAAAAGCAGGCCGCAATCGGTTTTCCTACTGGGTATCACTACGTATTACTATAACGTTATTTTGTGAATACAACCTAAATTCCGACAGCGAAAGCTGTTGAAGCGACAGAACCTAAAGCTCTCAAGTTGATTATTGTTAACCCAAATGTGTGGTTTTCCGTTTATTTATTTACGGGTAGACCTAAACATGTACGTGCATATATATTTGTATATGTGCGTATACTCAAAGGAAACTCACGACTTTGTATTTTGTATCCGGGATTCTCACCGTTTTCACCGATATATTCAGTCCCAGTGTCTGAAATCAATTCAGCGATCATTAAGATGTGACCAGTAACTTTTTGAACCCTTATTAGAAACATGTTTCTACTAAGGTTATTAACGAATGATTCGATGCGAGCGTTTATATTGAGCTCATCAAAAGCTGTCCAGCATAAACAGATTTTACATATATTTAGTCCTCGTTGTTTCATGCTCGTATGCAAGTATATCCGAAGATTTTTTACCCTAAGGTTATTCTTCAGGCCGGTGTTAATGCTTGAATATTATGAGTATTAGTAGTTGTATATATACATAGTAAATATAGTACAAGCTCCGCTGCTTTAAATATTATAACTTGTTGAAGAAAAATCGCTTATTTATGGGATAATAATTAAAGTTAGTTTCAACGTAAGCGTGTGAGTGCATTGTAGTTAAGGGAAGGGAAGGGAGCAACCATAGACTTGCCGTGTGGATAATTAAATCTATAGTGGACGCGAAACTAGCAAAAACAACTTATCAGTTACTCAGTGCAAAAAATAAGCAAATCACAGGTATTGAAATCTGCTATATAGTACGCAATGATGGAGTCACAATACAAGTTACCCGGAGTCGCATAAATGCTCGCAAATGTTTGTAAGTAATGCCGAGTTCTTTTTTCTAAATAGTTATTTGACGGAATTTTCTCTTGAATGTTTTATTATTATTGGATAGTAGCTATATTCCGTTCTCCAGAAGCACATAGAAAATTCCCATCGTCTCTCCAAGTGGTTCCGTTGCGTGCCAATTTCCGAAAAACATAATGGCCTTGTCCTTTTCTCCTACAACCTAAATAGCGTCTGCAACGTGATTATACGTATTTCTTATACGAACGAATTTGCAGATTTATTTTGACACGTTTCATCTGACGATCGTAACGATTTTACACGTGCCCTTGCGAACTACTTTGTTCTTAGTGTAACTAGATGGCTTATGTATATAAAAGGCGAAACTAACTGATCAATCATTTATTTATTTATTATTTATTTATCGTCAATAAAGGTCAGATTGGTCACTTGTACTTTTTCATGGCTGGAAATCTTAACATATGTTACTACACGTAAAACTCAGACATGCTGTTCGATGTATACATAGTCAAACTACGTCTGTAGGTTAACGGTAACACTAACTGCAAACCTTCGTTCATTGTCACTGTTGTCACGTCGCCATTGAAAATAATGCGTGTGTTCTAATGGTTGATATTTGCAAAATTTTCTACGAAGGACTAGACGCTTACTTTTGCAAATTGTAAACCTACTTTTTCTAAGCCTGTAAATTTGCTCTTGCTTCTCCATCGGAGTATATGGTTGTCTTATTACTTTTGTAGTTTCCGGAAAAAAATTTGTTTGATTTTATCTTCCACATATTCGAGGCGAGGTGGAATTTATCGAAGTCATCCCAAGCATTGTATTTTAGTTGCTTTTCAGTTCTTACATTCAACTGCTGCATGTTCTGCAAAATAACCAGTCGTGAGAGAATTGAAAAATACAGATGAATGAATTGATGTCATTAACATGTCTAATGAATTAACATGTCTAATGCTTTTTTTACCAGCGGATCGTCAATAGAAACAGCGTACATTGTAATGCCATGTTTCAAATGATCGATCTAGATAGCTGGATCTATCACACACTTAGCGATTCAAATAGTGAGCGATGCAGATTGACAAGCGACAGTTCCCGAACAAAACTGAAAAATAGACGACCGGGAATCTAGGCGTTTTTTCTTCATTAGCTGCGAAAGTTCGTGGAGCTTATACAATTTACGGAATTTATAATCTCTAGCAAGAAGCACGCAAGAAAAAGAACCATTAATAGAATTTCTAGGTTAATCAGAAGGTGCACGGAAGAGTGAAGAGGAAAGCTATAACGTTCCAGTGGATAGAGGAGTATATATGCATTCGACGCTCTAATGGAAACTAGATTTTCAAGCTGTGTATCTGTTATTGTCGAAGCAGACTTTGGCCTATCGAGAAAACCGAGAGGGCTCGTGCCCGTCACAAATTCAAGAGGCAATTTTATACCATCTCGTAGTTTTTGGGAAAAGGTCCATTGCTGACTAAAGATGTCTTGCCAACGTACGAGTCACCTACGGATAATGAAAAAATCGATAATCCTATGTTAACACGCAACATGGCAAAGCTTGTGGACTGACGTTAAAAGAGCGAGATCACGCGTTCACGCAAAGAAAATCCAAAAAGTATCGTTTGTGATGTCTAGTCTTTAGTCTCAGTGAAAACACTTGATTATCATCAACTTATATATATATATATATATATACGTGTATTACACTAAGTTTATCATTCACTCTGTTCGAGAGTACATTAATTACCAAAGTTATCCCATTGTCTAAGTTTCGCGTTTGATTAACTAAGAGGTAATTAGATGTGAGTGCAGTTTAATATAATGCTTTTTCCATTAAATTCCTGACAATTCCTACTTCAGATGTTATCTTCAAATGATTTATACAGACGGGACACTATTGTTTAAGTCGTACCAGTCGCTATTGGTTAACTAGGTTTTCTTATATATCAAACTGAAATATACCGATGACAACACAGTTAGCCCGCAGCGTATTCGACATGATAGGGCTATCATAAACTATCGTCTAGCGATTCCTTATACCCTAGAAGCTAGTCGAGCTAACTACACAGTTGATTCACTTCTCTTTTAGTGACTGTAAACCACACGCAAAAGTTTTCTCTGTTTCACTACTATTGGATAAGTGACGCTGTGATGTATTGGCGGCTTCGTCACAGGCTGCAATGATACTCTAGCGAATGTACTATGTCTCGACGATAAACCTAAATTCTCCCGTTGCTATAGCGATGAAGCAGCGAAAGTCGTCAGCAGACACATAGCACACCAATCGGCGGGCACTCCTTCAAACTCATAGATACAATTCTGTTAGGGTTGGCCGATCAAAGCGTTACAGCTGGATGTTTAGCTATGAAAAAGAATGAGTTAGAGCCATCTAGTGTTGTTGCCCTTATTAAAATTTCTCTTACAGACTAAACTTTTGTGAGATGTCGTTAAACGGAACTAGTCATACTCTAAACGGCATGCATTATGCTGGGGGAGAAGGCTCGGGCTTTCCGTGCGCGCTCTAAAGTAGGGTTCTGTTCCTATAGTAACCCACTGGATCTGTTAAGTCCAAGAATAGTACTCGCCCACGGCGCTCACCCATGGCCACAAACAAAGCTCTTCCTGTCAACGTTTTCACGTACTATGTACTAGATACTGAGGCGTTCTGTTATCGGAGTGCAGAACTTTTCGATAACCTTAATACTTCTAAGTTCTATTGAAAGAATCGGATGTGCATCTATCTTTAAAATGGGCGTCCATTGCACTGTATTGGTGCCCATTCAGTCCCGTCGTATACTGTCACCTAACAAAATCTTTTAGGGAAGACAACAGTTCGGATATCGCGTTTCGCCAGTCAAGTTGAAGTTAGTCCCAAGTGAAGATCTGTTGCACGATTACAGGAGTTAGCACGTAAATCATTTCCAGCATAGCTTTCCCCAACGGCCACAAAAAGGTCACAACCAACAGGGCTTTGTGGTCCATTGAGCAGTAAGGGACAAGACTATCTGAGAAAAGAATAACTAGCTTATATCAGTGGCCCTTTATACTCTGCATGTGAACTGGGTCTATACCGGGAGCAAGACTTGTGGCCAGGAACTTTATTAACACTATATCTCGATACTATTGAACCGGCCCACATTGCCACCATCCTGACCTCCCATTAGAGAGATAGGATCCAATGGAATCTTGTCAGTCAGCATGTGAGCGCTAGGAAGGTAAGCCACAGTTATTCACGCCGACTTTCATGTGTGTTTGTGTACATACATGATGGACTAACGTCACGTGCGACTCATCGTCGACCGATAAATATGGCCTTGCTTGATACAAAAGTGACACAAGGAGATGCCTGTCTTAAAGTCTTCTACTACGTTTGACAGGTGACTGCCACTTCTGGAGGTTTAACTGCGTTCGAAAGAAAGATTTGTTCGCCGCGAAGACGTCCTACTTTTCGTACTAGTCCTATTGATCATCTCGTCGAGTTGACTAACCGCTATGTAAGTGATAGATGTCACCCTGACACGACTGTGACATACTGCGGACTTTTTAAAATTGCAGATTGATTTATTTTTGAGCTCGCCATAGCCCCACTAATTAGCACATATGCTAAACGTATCTTCGTAGGAATCTTATATACTGAGGCTGACTTCAAGGTGCGATTCGAAACCAACTCGGGTTCGAAACAGGCGAAGCGGTTGGCTCGTTTGCCCAAGATGACTACACATGGCCTTAAATATACGTGCTTGAATAAAACGAGCTTTGTTTGGATGTACACGTCAAGTGAACTCTAGAGAAAAGCAATAAACAATCATTTCCTAAACAAGCGAAGCAGCAACACTGCTCGACGATGATCGTTCTCGGCTCGGTCAAGATGGCAATATCCGAGGTGTGTAACACCTATAAGCGCGAGAGCAGTATTCTACTGAAACGGTAAGGGGTAAGCAAGGTTACGACAACATCACTTTTACATACCTAGGTGATGAAGATTTCCACACACTAGTTTGTAGTACCTATCAAAATATTTAGACGGACGAATATGATCGATTTACAACCAATTGTCACTTGCCTGCGTTGTTACTCCGCTGGATCTTACACCGAACGTGAGGTGCGGAAGACCATATTACTTTATTGCGGTCAAAATATTTTAAAAGCGAGACGGTTGGCTTAAAGTGAACCGAAATTAGACTTGCGTTTAGCCCATGTGTAGCTGGAATAACAACAGTTCCGTTTAATTTTGACTAGTGACAAGCCTAGGCCCTGCCCTACTAGTCGAAGCCGGCACAGTCTAGTATATAGTGCAAATTATAGCCTAAGGCTACCACTCTCAGCTCCCAACAGCAATAATACATTTTTGCAATATTCTAAATAACGGCCGAAATCTTAGATGTGAGCCTAATGGTACAAACTTGACTAGCATAAGGCCGATGTTCTAGCTGATACGATATCAGCTAAAATCATTGGTGACACAGCGTGTGCTCTTCTCGCATAAAATACACGAAAGCAAGCACATGTACCTTTTTCATATAAATAGTGAAATGTAACAATTCTAGGACAGTCCACTCCGATAAAGTTTAATTATCGGAAACAGGACAACTTTTGCAACATTAAATTTGAATGGGAAGAGTTATTACTTGTATGCTGTGGGTAAGAAATCAATAAAAGGGCATTTATAATCGGTCCTGCTTCTAGCGAATAGGAAGCGAACTAAAGTGTAGTAATACGCACACATGACTAATAAAGACAGAAAAACTATGTTTGTTATATAAGTAAACGGGCCTGTCTGTGCTTTATATTGCGAATACTGACGATGGCATAGTCAAAGCATCGCTACTATTGCTGGCTGGAATCGTGAGTGCATTTGTTTAGAAGTCCTGGCGCCTTGTTTCTATTTACGCATATTCGTTTCTGACTAATCATCTCGTAGTGATCCAGCGTTAGCTAATGTATAACTGTATGTATATAAATCGAATTAACTGTCGACTGAATACGGGACCAACACCCATAACTTTGTATGGCTTTTGTTTTTGTAGGTCTGTTAGCCCGGGCTGGAATAACCTTTCCACAATTTATCTGGATGGGCAAGCCCACATGAGCTATCGGCACCGCGATTCTGTTTGCATTGTCTCCAAAGATGAAAACGCTATGCTTCATCACTTGATGGTTAAAAGCAAGGATGTGGTAGGTTACTATTATTCAACCCTACTGAAAAGCTAAGGGACAGTTAGCTGTTTAATGTATTAAATTTGGGTATTATATATGGTATATATAAATTTGGCTATATTAGATAAAAAATGACCTAATCTTTAAGCAATACGATTACTGCGATAGAGTACGCATTGCATGGCATACAATTTGCGTAACATCCGCTTAACGAGACGGACAGATTGCGTTTCTGCAGAGTCGAATAAATACGAGCATGTTCAACAGCTCAGTCGTCCTAATTCTATATGATAAGGATGCAAAATTTTACAAACGAGGCAATAAACGCGGTGATCTATTCACTCATAGCCGGTCCTATCTTATGTCGACTTAAAATCATCGATCAAAATCAATACAGACTTTTACTGGCAACCTATTAGTTTTCAATTTCGTGTCTTTCTCACAAGCGTGTGATACTGTGACAGTGATCAAGCTAGCATTATGTTATGTTATGCATTACATGATAATTATTTCGCTTCCTATGAAAAAATATTAAATTACTCATTATCAACAATATCAGGCTTAGCCACTAAAAGTAGATAAGAAAGGCTATGTTTCAGTGTTCCTCTCCGTGTATACACAATACGAGCAGACTCGACACGGATGAAAATGTCTAAAAAAGTCATCGGACCCGAAATGTAGATGGTTTATTTGTTTTTTGCTAATAGTTCTACGGCACGACTGGTTTTGATGAGACTGAAACTGTGAGCAGCGCTGTCCTACAAGGAGACCTGACCGACTCAAAATGGGTCCAAATGGGTCAAAGAGGTGTCCTGCTCGTGGCACTCTCCCCTGGTGGTGTCCAGTTCTTCGAATGGGATGGTTCTGTTTTCCTGCATTACCACCAGATAGCCCAGCCTGAAGAGAGCAAGCGGGTATTTGCCAGAGGTTAGAGCAGTTTGCTATTCCTAGTTGTAAGAAGCCAGATCCTTACATAAATGTGAAACGAGAAAACCTGCAAATGACTTACCTTCCCCCCCCCCTCTCTCTCTCTCTCTCTCTCTCTCTGTCTCTCTCTCTCTCTCTCTCTCTCTCTCTCTCTCTCTCTCTCTGAGGCGTTCCACCTCTTCACTAGAATTCAAAATGCAAATAGGGAACTATCGGAGATCATATTACAATATTATATTATTCTGAGAGAAGATATAATACCGATAAGTGATAAGTATGGCATATTAAGTAAGAAAGCAAGCGCGCGCCGTTCCGTTAGAGCAATATGCATAACAACATTTGCTGTTAAAGGTATTGGCGTGTGTGGGGACCAGCTGGTATGCGTTGGTTTATCAAGCGGAGCTTTACTCGTATTTCGAGCGATCCTTGAAAAATCCGAGGAAGAAGAAACGGGCAACTGGAATATCAGCCTTGCAGAAACCATCACTGAACACCAATGTGCTATATCAGACATTCATGGTACTGCCGAACTAACAGCAAGCTGCGACGAATTAGGCACCGTCGTTCTCTGGGCGGGACAGACAGGTATGTCAATTTATTCCTTAATAACCGATTATATATGTTTATGGCACAATGTTAAAATTTTGTTGAAGATTATTAAGTATTTGCTCAAAATGACCCTTTTCGTCGACCACTCTATTCGTCTATTCAACAGAGCTGGATTATATTGCTATGTGGATGAGAATTTGCTGTCGCTTTTTATTTTAATTCTCTTAACTTACTCTGTGTATTCTTCAAAACCGCTTCATTGGGTATTGGGCAGCTCTGAGCAAACTGGGCTCGCTGGACGCAAGCCGGGGCAGAGCTGAACCGTGTACTTCCGTTCGTGTTTGGGCAGGCCTCGTTTGCGTAGCGATGGCTACTGGATTTATTCGGATTTATCACGCCGACTCGATGGCCCTGAAGTGCGAGGTGACCGCCCATGCACGATGGATTACAGCATTAGATATTGCTGCGCAAAGTGGATTACTCGTATCAGGCAAGAACATCTACGTCAGAAACTATTAGGTCAACCTGCACAGCTATAAATGTGCTTTTATCCACTAATACACGTTTAAACCCATCTAACAAGTAACATGCATCAAGTGAGAAATAATCAGACAACGTTGGAACTAAATTTCCACTCTACGTGTATCCACCTTATTATTGAGAACAATGCCATGATTATTCAAATGCACAAATATTTTGGCTTAAATTCGTTAACGACAGTTTCTATATATACATACATATATATATATATATATATATATATATGTATTTATTTATCATTAACTACAATATGTCCGCGTACCTTATTAATAACGTGGTCGTCACACAATCTGCCGTAGCTGTGATAAACGTTAAAGAGCAACTGCTAGGTACATTTTTACACTCTTAGCCTTCATTATATCCATCTTAGCTGCGACGAACATAAAAGATTTCTGTTACGCCGTCAGTGACATTACTTTAGTAACTTATCTATTTTTCCAAAGTTTTTCAAACCTGCTTGGTATACACCGTACAATGGAGAGAAAGGTTTCATTTGAGCAGAGTCCCTGTAGTTACATAGTTCCTATTTTGGTCAGCGTCTTTGCGTGATTTAGTCAAAACTATTTTGTGGACTAGACCTTCAACGTTGAGTCATTTCATGTACAATACATAGATGACAGAGATTAATCATTACAAGAGAAATGACAGCGTACTTCTGATTACCCGGAATTAACTAAGCTCGCAGATGTCTGAGACAACATTCTTCAATTCTTAATTTTGCTAGTGACTGTAAAAAACTGAATCGTCATGGCCAACTGACGGAGTCTATGAACGCGCTATAAAATAAGGCAAATCAGGTCAGACCGGCAGTGAGAAAACCTCACCAAAGGGGTTTCAAGCTTTTTGATCTGTGCGACTTGCTATAACAATGAATCAAGTCGATTACAGATATTACAAACGGATACAATATATTACAAACTTAAACGCACATATTCCCGAGTTTGCACAGAGTTATGCGCCTATGAAAATAATCAATTTCTAAATATCCTAAATCTTAAAGCCATTTTTTGTTTGCCACACGTTCCCTTGATGTTCCATATAGTCAAAATTTGCTTTTGTGCCTCTTTTTCCAGTGTCAGAGGATGCTTTCATCCGAGTATGGCAGCTTTATCCTTCACCGTCCTCACCAATGACGATTTCTCCAGCATGGAATTACTTCCTTGAGGATGCTCAACTATTTGGTGTAGCCTTCCTAGACCCGGCAGGCGATGCAGTGGCAGTTGCTCCGTACGACCTATATGAACTGTACCTTTTCGAAAAAGAGGAATGCTAAATTTCTGTTAATTTTTTTTATCGCGCGATGGCCTGACTATTCATCCTCTGCTGCTATCGTCTAATATTTGTGTACGCTTCTTCTAAATGTCTACCAGTCCTAAGCGGAATAGTCCCATCACCCTGCTCTATAGTTTCCATGTCAAGCTTCCTTTTCACAGTACAAACTGTTGTTACGTGCGCTGACATGGTATGATAGCGTAGCTGCGAGTAGGAATTTTATTGGTCTTGCTGTGCCTGGCTCTAGTTTGTCTGTTTGCAGACGACTACTGGACGCCCGAATTATAGGCGCACGTCACTGCATCCAGAGTTATGAACTATGTAATAGCTGAGTAGAATATTTCTATTTTGCTATAGTAATCCACCAAATGATTTAGCCGTATAAGTTTATAGATTTTCGCATATATAGGAAAATGGTAGGCCGAAGAACGACACACTGACACTAAGTCACACTATTTACTGAACACCGGAAGTATGATGAGCAGTTCGACCGTCCTGCCAACATCACACACGTTCGGATACGAAGAGAATCGATGGGAAAAAAAACCCCATTTCAATAACGACCCATTTTTCTTCTTTTACACGTATATACGGGCAAGGTACGCTATGTATTTTCTGTTGAAACTACGGTATCAAGAGATCCCTTTAACATATGGTACAACCGGCCTTTATGATAAAGGAACAAAGGATATATATTAATATCTCAAATTTTTAATGTATTCACCACGCAGATCATTTCAAGACGATGATTCCAAAATCAGACGCATGTTTGTTCGCAGACGCAGAGGAGTCATTTTGTAACAATTATTACTATCATCTCTGTTATCACTGTTATTATATTTAGTTCCTTTGTAGGACTATGTCTTTGCACTGGCCGTTTATGCTGTTATCTATGTAGTTTCCACAAGAAAAACCCGTTGATTTTACATAGCGTTCTGTTCCAGTAATGTACAATTGTATAGTCAAGCACGAATAAAACACAAGGGTTATTATTAGCCTGATTATATCTAATCGTTACGTTTATTAAGCATTATATAATAAAAAGAAAGAACTTCGTAAACGTTAATCGGTTCACTTGCTATATATATATATATACCTTTTTTTTTAAAAAAGTAGTAAGTGCAACTTCTTTCGTACCTGGAAAAGCTAATGGATTTAGATATGCTTGCATATCTAAGTTATGCTTGCATATCTAAGTTAAGTTGTCTGAAAAAATCATATCAATGAAATCGCGAATCGAATTCGTAGTGAAAATCCCGTTGCCTATTGCCGTTTTACACAATGAATATTTTTGCTAATTGATTAAGTCAATGCATTTATCTCACCTAATTCTACTTCAAATATTTTACTTCGTTACATAAACATTAATGTTGTAGAATACATTTGCCCATTCATAAGAAAGAATCGAACGTTGTTCTTTTTAAGGCTTTCTTTTAACGAACGGCGTCCTTTAGTGATACAATTTTTTTTTTTATATAAATCATCCTTCATTGGAAAAATGTCCTTAAAAATATGAAAATATGACTCCTAGCAAATTTACATACTACGGGCGGATTCGTTTTGCATATTTCCGTTCTAAGTAAATTTGCTCGTGGCTTTCAGTTTGCTTACCAATTCCTTACATGGTGATGATAGGCAGAAAAATCTAATTGTTCTTAGTTTTTCTGCTGAACCAACTCTTGGCGTTCAACGAAAGCTATAACAATTATACTACTTCTCCAGGGCACAGTCAATTTCAAATAGTGTTCGTGTTAGGGAGCACCATGCCCTTACACGGGATAGCTAATTTGGTACATTGGTAAACAGATGTTCGCATACCAAAACAAAAAGCTTCGATGGAATCATTAGACAAAACTTGCACACTCGAACACTGATGTTAGTCATATTGGGATTTCCTGGCTAGACTGTTAAGACGCGTTCATATCTTTTATGGGAAAAGCTTTCTGCGGGACTCCCATATCACAAATTCGATATTTCTCATTCAAACCGTCTCCACCTCCTTTAAGACTTCTAAAAAGGTTTTCAAATCGCTTCAGAAAGCTACCTATATTAGACGCCAGACGTGTTGTGCAATAGAATCTGAGAAGACGGAATCGGCTAGTGTACCTCCTAACAGAGACATTTCTGCTCAGCGAGAACTTAAGGGCATTTCGATGTACAACCTACTTCTTCATTAAATGATTTTGTCGCAATTGAAGAGGATAGGTTCTTCTAAAGTAAGTTCTTCGGGCTTTATGAATCTGAAGCTAAGTCAATTACGTACGGATGACATTGAACAGCTCAGTCCATCATATTGTAAGTGGGTTCACGGTGTATAACTTCTGCCGTAAGTTGTCTGTTATTCCAAACTTTCATGAAGCAAACTAAATGTGTATACGTGGCAGATGCGGGTAATCGTATGAAACCATACTTCTCGATGTCTTTATGTCACTTGCTGTCAGTTCGGCAGTTTAATTTAGAGTACACTGCTAACGAAAAATCTTATGCCGCTTATTACGACAGAACTATCTAAATATGAAGGTACATTTTACGGAGATCTCTTGCGCTGTCAGAGTAATAAGTAGAACATGAAAGTGCGAATAAATAAACCTATCTAAAAAATAATCAATTTATGAGACACTGCAGGAGTGTAAATTACCCAGGTTTTCGTTAAGCGTATGCTTAGTATCATTCGATCGGATGGCCACTTGATCACCGGTGACTACACGCGTTTAGAATCGCGCTCCATTTGCGAGATAGATGAGTATATAAATGTCTCTCCTACACACGCCGGGACGTGTGTAAAAACTGGTGATTACTGCAGTAATTAACTGTGTATATATGCAGTTGAATAGTCAATAATATTGATTCTGACTGTTACTGGATACAATACAATCGCAATACAGGGAAAAACAGTATTAGTTCGCTTCAAAGATAATCTGCACACGGGAATTCTCTAGCTTGCTCTCTCAATCTGATACTTGAGTCGGATATCGAACTTCACAGAATTATTTCTGTACTTATCCGCTTGTCAGATTCATACACCATGACATTTTACATCAACGACTATTGTAATGACTCTGTTCAGCTTGATTTATTTATTATTTGGATTATGCTAAGATTTAATGTTTTTGTTTGTTTTCCACAGACTGATGTCTATTTATATACGTCAGAGCAGTTCTGCGAAGTTAGCTGACATTGACAACATTGTAACCGGAATTTGTTTTCGAATTGTAAAAACCGAAGACCAAGAAACCGAAGAACAGAGGACACGCAAAAGATGCAAAGCGAGAACAGACCCACACTTCACGTTTCCGTTTTGTCTCCCAACAAGCTACCCATTTGAATTAATACTAGAACGTTAACATATACCCATCGTCAATAAGTGTACTACATGCAAGTAATAAGTGGACTAAAAAAAAAAAGTCCAATCTTATTGACGCTCAAGTTAGATCATATTTGATGATACCTACGTATGTTATTTGCAATAAGAGAAGTAGCGTGTGAAAGAAATTTATTCGTTTATTAAATTAAAAGAACAAGAATTGAGTTCCGTAAACAAACGTTGAAGGTAGTTGGTGACTGTACAGAGTTTACCGGATGACGTTGAAGCAGCTGTTGGTGTCTGTATATAAGATATACAGATTCATTTCTTTTTACCTTTAACAGACTTCTCTCGGCGTTTTTTCAAGTATTTCGGAACTTTGTTTTTGCGCTTCTCTCGCGCAGCGTCTTTGACAGCTTTCTTTCGTTCTCGCTTCTCTTCCACCGTTTCATTCTTTGGCCGACCCAAACTTACCTAAACGATAAATCATAAATAAATTCTCGGTAAGCAAACGAAACGTTTCTCTACGTTTGTACACTAAGTGTTTGATCTATAAGCGTCTACTCTCACGTAACTCTTAACTTGACCGGCATGGTCGTTCATCTCAGAAATCAGTATGTCAACTAATTTTAATCTGAAATAATATCTTGGTATTTAGATTACCATCATAAATTTTACGGTAAAAAAGGCAAAAGCGGGAACTTTGAAAGGCAGTCATAACTTACTACAAGATCAAAGCCACAGTAGCCTCGCAATGGAGATAGATATTAAAATGATTTCTTTGCGGCGCCGGAGAAAAATGCGTAGGCATATTACTATTGTCTGCGGAAGCGAAACCACAAGAATGTTGGTTCGAATGGTGGTTTAATGAAGCAATGGGGCAGACACGACACAAAACATTATAATCGCTGAGAAGACCGAAAGCTTAGAAAGACATTAATGCTCGTTGCAAACTACCACCAGGAGGCGAAGACACAGGATGTTACTGGACAGCAAGTCGAGTACAACACTGGGACAAATATGCACGCTAATGAAGGATAAGGAGAGCCTTTGAAGTTCCCATTGCTCGCGCAACCGAGGCAAAATGGATGTTGTCCGATAAACACGAACAACATTCATTTTCGTCGGCATACGAAAACGACAATTCGCTCGCAGGCATGAAGAGAAGAAACAGCTTAGAACGGATTTAGTAAAGTAAGCCCATTGTTTGCGGAGTTTCCAGGATCCGCGCGAATACGAAACGCCACTATGACCGACAGACCAGTCGAATCGGCATTAATATAACTATAAGAATGGTTAGTCTGGTATCGATGCAGTGTCACCTAAACTTACAAGTTTTCTTCTTTGCTTCTACTTTGCAAATGCATAATTTATGCTTGACATTATGTATATGGAAATAAAAGTGATATTTTGGACACGAAACTGTTGATAGTAATATACAGCTCTAGTTAGTGCTGTTTACAAGTCGGCTGCCCAAAGCTTTGGCAGTGTAAACATACATCCGCTTCTGTGTAGATATAAAGAGTTACAATTCAATTTATCTGTAGTTTAATCAAATCTTTAATAAGGTAGTGCTTATTTATAAAAATCAGCTTGGCATACGAGAATTGTGAAAAGGTCTTTCTAGACGGTCACCAAAATTGGCCTATGGTATTTTTTGTGAATAACTCTGAGTCATCTCACACGGGTCACAAGATGATCGATTATGATAATTGGCAAATCAGGTTTGGAACTAAAACTGGAAACGGTATTCTTAAATTTATTATTGAACAATTATTATCATTAACAACTATTCATCTTTTTTCACATTTAATAACTGAGTTGTAATCCCCCAAAAAATGTTTTTGTGACAGGTAAGGAAATTTTTGAGCGAATGCATGGCTTCTACATAAGTTCATTGAATTCATACGAATAACACGTTCTGTATAGGCCGGTAATTTGGGAGGGATTTATGGTAAAATGTCGGTTATCACATCTTTTTGACCTCTGCTGATGTATTTGGCTCAAATTGCAAAATACTCTCCTACTTGTAGCTCAAGAGGGTATATATATGTATGTATATATAAAACATATGCCGGTTTAGGGCAATTTTTTTAATTCAGACTTTCTCGAATAGGTAATTTCTCGAAACAAGTAGGTTTACCCAAAGCTACTTTCATCTCTGTTCTTCCGATGAGCACATAAACAATTTCGCAAATGTCAAAAAACAATGCCTAGTCATTGGAATTTGAGTAAGTATCAGCCATTGTTCAATTGGGCAAATGATTAACTAGAAAATAAACTCCTTTATGTTATGTAAAACCGACAGTTTCGATAATACGTAGGCCACTGTAAAAGAAGCAGTTTCCGGCAAAGTACAATGAGAAATCTATGACAGACAGAAACAATATAGACTCCAGAATTCATCGACGGCGTCAAAAAGTATTTTCGATAATACCTCTGTCTCTAATAAAGTCGTTGGCGAACAATATTTGTGATGCGGTTATCGTCCTACGGGTTTTTCACGAAGACTTTAGCTAATAGGCCTTAAAATTCATAGAGATTTGCTTTGATTTGAAACGTATGTCGTTCCCTTCTTAAACCGCTTACATATGAAATAGCAGGTCATCTTCGGTTCATTACAAACTAAAAAATGTTTATGATCGACGCAGAATCTAACCATGGAAACGACTGCTGGCTTGTCATGTTCCAGGAGCTGTGCTGATTGTGAGTAACGCGAAATTTATGGTCAGCCTTCAAGACCTGAGTGTAGTGTACGGTCAAGGAGATGTCATGTTACCGTAAGATCTGAGAAAGGCGCAATTATCAATCAATAAGTCTATCTGCGCATTCTATAAACTGTGAAGTGTCCAAATGAAGCTATAAATCTTTCTGCAATAAAATACACGGCTCATACGAGCCGGTTAGTGCCAGGTTAACTACTTGAGAATTTGAGAACAACTTAGAGTAAGCAGATATGGCCGCCGAAGAACCCAGATTGAAACTTGCTGGACTAATATGCACAGAGCCTTACTGAGCAATAGTTTGCCATGTTTCCGCACAACAACGTCTAAACACACGCACTCTCATGTTATCAAACAGCTAGAAACAAGCTTAGATAAATTTAGGTTCCGAACTGAAGCTTTAATTCACGGAAACAAAATCAAACACCATGACCATTAGAACTTATATTTTTAGCACATGTGGGAAAATTGAAGTATTTGCGTTTATTCATATGAAGTTTTACAAATACCAGCTGTCGCATAAAACTATGGTTAATGGGCTCGGTGAGCAAAGTTTTATTAAAGAGCGTTTAAGAATCGAAAATCATAAACACGTGACCTTTGGAAAACATTAGTTACGTTGCTTGATTGCGATTTTTATGTTACATTAGAAAAGTTGGTCTATTTGACTTTAAAAGACGCAGAACGCCAAGTTTCTTTATAATAACAATAGTGTCTCGATTAAATGAAATTCAATACTGAAGATAAAAAATCATTTCTTATTCGAATATTTGGCTGTCCCAAATGACTGTGAAATAGACAATCGGGACATTTAAGAATGGATCATTGAAGTTAGGCAATTCGGTATTTTTTCACATTTGTTGTAAAAAGATTTGGGTTTTTCGATTCATGCAGTAAAATTCACGAATAACTAAAAATTAGTGTAATCGCTCTTAGGAAATATTAGATATGACTTGTTTATCATTTCAGAATCTAAACCATGTGCCAGCAATAAATATAATTAAAATATATGTTCAGTTGAACCCTATTCTTATTGAGTTATTTTGCTTTGTGTGTGTTCAGGAATAGAATTTGGTGCTCACCTGGATTCGCATTATAACAAACCATCACATGAAAGCTCACCAAGAATGGTCACTTTAGTCAAATTTTGCTGACCAACTTCTACAGCTACCTTTGCTTAGATGGTAATTCTATGCTCCCTGATGACCAAGCAAACATCGAGGAATTGATAAAAGCATCGTGGAAATCGCTTTTTCAATTACGTTGAAGTGATGATTTTTTTCATAGCTGGACTATAGATCCGGCGCACATGATATGCTTCAAATAGGTATTAAACTAACAAAAGTAGAAAAAAATGGAACAAAGAAGTTTAATAATATTCCATTCGACGCAAGAAGTTGTTCCATTTGTTTTGGCAACACTTACTATATGCTTAAATCTACAACAGCCAGGTTATTTCTCATTTATAACGCTTCCTATCTTTAATGGGCATGCCTATATTTCAGCTCGCTTGATTTCATCCGACTCGCTACATCAGCGATAAGATAGGTAGTCCACTCACTCTGGGTCCGCCAATTGTCCGTTCATCCTCTTCGCTGTCGCTTTCGTCACCCACAAATGAGGAGCCTTCATCGACATCATCAACTATATCTTCTTTACCTCCGGACAATTTGTGGTTACTCTTCGCACATTCTTCCACTTCCTTAAGACCAGTTAACGTTTTATACAACAAATCCTCTCCCTGTCGGAGTTTTATCACATCTTTCTCGTAATCTAGCACCTAGAACCAAACATCATTATATTAGCTAAACAATGCTTACCTGCACACAGCTCTATAAAAGCCTATGTGTCGTTTTATTATAAGATAGCAGTCCTTTCTAACAGAGAACATGCAGTTCAAAACATAGACCTGTTACAGCGCATGCTTACGAAGCTACTGGGCACTACTAATATGGCGGAATTCAATCTTCTTCGAATATAACCATTAATATTTTACACACCTGATCAAGGCTTCGTGGGATATATGAATTCTTGAAGACCTCGTCATCCACAACGATTTGTCGAGGGTCTAATACACCGCGGCTCGCACTCCTTTCAGCCATCCTTTCCAAATAATCTTCGACATTAGCAATAACCGGCGCCACAACAAAGTCGAACAGTTCGCGCACTGTCATTGTCGCGACCGCGCAACGACTGAAGAAATCTGTCACATTTGTCAAGTCCTAACATAAAGCAGACAACATAAGTGCTACTATAGCGCATGGACAGCAGGATTATTCATTCAACCTATTGACCATTATACCCAGCACCAGCGTTTGCAGTTTACCGATAGTTCGACGTATTAAGCGATAGGTATTATTCCAATGCACAACTGCGATTTCAATTTGCGTGACTTATTCATACCTCGGCCAGTAATTAACTAGTATATGTTTTTTGTACCTATGTCCAATTTGCTATTGGTTTGATACTGGGGTATACTTTTCGAAGGAAGATGAGAGCATTAGGATGCTCATGTTCAACACTCTGCGACACGTCAATGAACACCAGTCGTCCTTCGTGATAAAGTAGGTTATATTCAGACAGATCAGCGTGCACCAATCGACATTCGTGAAAAAGCCGGCGTATATCAAGAACCAGGGATCGATAAAGCTCACGCGCTTTTGCCTCTGTTAGTGGAACATCTTTCAGCTTAGGTGCTGGCCAACCATCCTTGCCGATAAATTCCATAACGAGAACATGAGAGCGTAACAGATGCGGTTTCGGACATGGTATTCCGGCCTAAATATATTAGAAAGCAAAACAAAACGAATATATAAAGTAACTAAAATAGAATTATATATACACACCTTTATTTTTATTTATCCACTGAAAATATTAAAATATGATAGATAGAATGAAGTCAGTTCAATATAGGTCTTGGTGTAAGATATCTACAAATATATTTAAAGAAAAATTACCCTTTTGATTCCCTGATAATAAAACGTTTAATAATTTTGATCGTTGTACGTTTCGTATACTACGGACAATGACCGCAGCAAAAATATAAAGTTCTTGCATCAACTTTATCAGTGTTGTTTACTTTCACCCCGCTCAGTTAACTAAATAACTTTAAGTTATTTAATTGATATATTAACATGATTTCTTAGCTGCGATATTTTCTAGACAAATGGGTAAGGAACAAAGGCGCTTAATACAGTCATGTTTTTACTGCACCTTCTCCAGTCGTGTAAGATTGCGCATCTCTTTTTCGGCCCAGAGTCGAACCATTTTCCGGGGATTTCCTGAACAATAACCTCCACGAAACCGAAATTCGCCGGTCACGTAACGGTCGCGATCTTTAAATACAAGAATTGACGTCTTATAGACTTTGATAGCAAACTGCTGCTCATTTCCTTTTGAAGCGTGGTAGACATTGGCTTCCTTGCCAGTCGAAATACACCCGTTGATCTGTTCGAAGACACACCTATTCAGCATTTTGAAGAGGATCATACGTGTCCGCGCATCCAACACTTGTTCCACTGTTGCTCGCTCCATCTACTTAAGTAAGAAAACGAGAAAATTTGTTATATCGGGTCATTAATAATACTTTATATAATTTTTTTGTATTCCCAAACTATAAAAAATCAGTTTTGCGTATTACACTGAAACGATTTTTGATTTTACTTTTCTACATGTATAACTATTTAGAGACTTGTGAAAATTTTTTTACCATTCTCACGACCATAGCATCTAAATAAGCTACGGGCGGTAGATGACCTTTAACATTTTTACATAAAAACTATGCATGCAGCATCACTAATTAACAGAATTTATAGTTAAAACACGTTAATAAAAAGCATGCCTTGTCTTTCACCCGTATGCGTTCTTGTTCAGCTCGCCGCTGTTGTTCCGTGACAGCTTTCATTGCCTGCCTTGGCACGCACAAAGAATCAAGGCTCACTTTCGATGAAAACTTGTTAGCCATAACCTGCGTATACAAAATATTCCGAAGTTTTAGAAAACAGCAAAAATTTGCAGAAACATTTTTGCTGTCCACGGCACCTCTTTACGATATTTCGAACCTATCTTACACAACCAGCCATACTTGAATAGCGTACATTATGACACTGGGCAGATTGATCGTTTCGAAAGCACTTAGTAATGGAATTGGACATTTCAAAGTTTGATATAAATCATTCTTTCTTTATATGTGTCTGTTGTGAAAGTTGTGTATTTCTTTGGGGGTTATCCATAGTTCCCAAAATGGTTATGTTTACATTGAAAATATTAGCTCTTAGTTCGGATCGTTTGCTGCGGTTGGCGGTTGCAGAAATTAACATTACTACACGATTTCCCGTAGCTTCTTCTTTAGCCTAGACTGGATTTTCTCGTTAATAAAAAAAAACATGTTCGCTCTTATTCGTGTGGGGAATACCTTCATAGTATATATGCTGACTGTAAGCCATTGGTAGGAATGTAGCAATAGTATAGGGACAGCTCTAGCAAAGAAGCTATTGGGCGTATAACTTGGCACGCTGATGTCCTGGAGAAAGAGGGAAGGCTAAAGTACTGGACGTAAATAGTCCTCGAAAAGGTGCACAATTTTTATATTACATACATTTATGTGTGCATCACATTTTTTAGATACTGAAGCACGAAATATTACCAAATATCCTAAAGTGTTTATCTTTATAGCAACGTATCTGCATACCATACTGCCGCCCTGAGGGGAATAGGAACATCAACGACCGATACAAAAAGATTCACCAAACCGGACTTAGTGTACTATCCTTGTTAGCAAGTATTTGATGAATTTAAAACTTTATGGATACATAAGACAATAGATTTTATAATTTGAAAAAAGTTTCTTACTATTTTAATGATAACCTAATTTTAACGGCTGTACCTTCTGCAAATCCTGATATTTCGCCTGTTGTTGCCCATTCTGTTGAACTGCATTGTTGCCTCGTGCTCCACTTTGTCGATTTGGGTGAAATCCTTTGTCTTCTGAAACGAACCAGTCGTCATCGTATTCATCGTCGTAGTCTTCATCATCAAGTTCGTCGTCATCACAGTATTGAATGCCATTTGGTTCTCTTGTGTCAAAGAAAATTTCGTTTTCTTGCCAGTTATCTCCTGCTTTGTTCAAAGGAAACTGGAGGGATTCATCTTTGAACACATTGACCACTCGCAGAGTCTTATAGCTAACGTCCTCTTCCGCGTCATCTGAAATAGTGAACACAAATATACAGTTCAAAGAACTTATCCGCGATGGGCATCTAGATGAAGACAGAGGATACCTATAAGTGGGTTTGTCAACATCGACTACTACAGTAATCTCATTATTACTGCTATATGCGCTAGCCACCATGGGTTCGAAATTCTAATTTCTATGAATTCTATGAAGAAGTTCTAATTCGTATGATCTTTAATGTCCAGTAAATGCTACTTTTGTTTTATCTTATTACCCTGACTGACGGGGCCCGTGAATGAATGACATGATAAGGCAAGATTTGTCTTATAAAAATAGGTGAAGTAAAAAAAATTGATTCGGATATTCCCGTCAAAGGTATGATCTGTACAAGCTATTACACTGCAATATCTTAATTTGTATTACAACAAACTTCTATTTAGTATTTTATATCCTTTTAGCAGATAATCAACTCGTAAATAGCATTCGAAACTGCCACCGGCTTATAACTAAAGCAGTCGCACTTCACTCTACTCATGTACGATGACTAATGCTATTGTTCCATTTCTCACACGATTTGCCGCGTCAGTCAAGAAAAATAGAACTCACCGAACTGCCCGGGGTGGATTTGTAACCGTTTCAAGTCTGGCTGCATTTTTCATGGGTTTCCTTCGTTTACCCTCTCGAATACAGCCAGTCTAGCACGAACTCGAGTCCTCCATTATAGCGAAAATATTTACGTTCGTTTTGCTGGCGCTTTGCCGACTGCTTTTCGACCGCGTGCCGGATCTTTGTTTACTTTTGCAATGCTTTTACCTACTACCCAGTCATCATGGCTACGGTGACTGTGTACTGACGCGCGAGAATTTAAATCCAGAGGCGTGCAGATGAATGCCACTGTAAGGAAAACCAAAATCTTATTTGCAAGTTTTTTTGATCATCTTTTTCATTTTTTCTATTAAGCTTCGATCAGTTACTATGTAGTTTATGCTTTAAGTGTTTTAGTTATAGTGTTTCACAAATCTTCCTATGGGTTTTCTGCTTGCGCTATAAAGGATGCGATGGTTTTAGTCATATCTAATATAGCTTTAATTTCTTCAAAGATAGAGTAACCCGCAATTTAGCACTTTTCAAATATAGTATTCGATATAACAGAAATGAATGAAATAAATTAAAGACGAGTACTGAAACGCGTGATGCAGCTTAGCAACGGCAGGTTTGGGTAAATTTAGCCGTGTTTTCTGTTGAGTGCGTGCATGCGTCCGCCTGTCTGTGTTCGTTACTACGTAAAAAAGTCCTCTCGCTCCATTGGTGAGTAGCGGTCCGGTAAACTAGGTCCTAGCAATAGCAGTATCTACCACCGAGCACGGCTCTGGAGAGAATGGCAAAGCCACCGTTAAGGAGTTCGGCGGAGAATACACAGCACGCAGTAGCAAACTGTGCGACGTGCCGCTTGGCTACACATACTCACATGCAAATTTACACACATACAAACAAAAAAGCTCAAAGAAAAACGGCGCACGTCAGGGAAAGGCTATACGCTCAGTAGGCGCAAATCGCTCTACTATTTTTCTCCATCAGAACCAACACGTCTGGTTTCAGCTGGCAGCAGCTCTGACGGACATGTACGCGTCAAAGAAACAGCCTAAACGGATTCTAAACGGAAGAACGTATACTTGGTATAATATAATAGTAAGCATTACTACCAGATTGTGACGCATAGTGAAGGAGAACACAGCGCAACCTGGTACGCATGCGCCTGCCTGAGTGAGTCATTATGTCGTGGTTGCGGCGGCGACGGCGGCAGCGACGGCGGCCACGGTTATAATAGTGGTAGATGCTCTCGCGCAACAAACTCCATTGAGCTGGAGCGAGACGGATAGGCAGGACAGTGTTCACCTCATTCGCGCTTCTTCTGCCGGTTCGCTGGACCAGCTGATCGCGCCCTGCCTGTCCCACATTTCGCTACGTAAGTTATCGAGGACAGCAAGCAAGTAAAGTGCGAGAACAAGACGAAAAAGAAGCAGCAGCAGCAGCGGTATGACGTAAATAGCGCACGGTGCGTAGGTAAAGATGAAACCGTTTGTGTAGAGGACCACAACGTGTAACTCGAGCAACCCAAAAGATCGTGTCTGTTGACTAATTGTAGCACGGCAACGAATGAATACGCCCAACGATCCAAACTTCCTTGCTCCACCATCAACGCTACCGCGATCTTGTTCACCAGCAGCAACAGGGAGTCGAGTGGAACCAGAAATCGTCGCTGCTGCCGTCGACGACGTCGCCCAAGCCGGCAAATTAGACTGGACAGCCGAGTTCAGGGGTCCAATGTCATCACACAGCTCCCACTATTCAACTACCAGGACTTATATCCTTTGGCTTTGATGGCTGGCGACGGCGATCTCTGGTTAACGGTGAAAAAATGGTAGAAACAGTGACGAGTCCACTGCGTAGGCAGCCACAGCAGGAAGTACAGAAGCTACCCAGCTAGGGCCTAAAGACCATTGGCTGGAAGGCATACAGAGACAAGACCGTCCGTCGTAAAGGATCTATATATATATGCATATATATATATATATATATATATATATATATATATACATATGTGTGTATGTATATATATATGTACATACATAAATATATATATATGATACGATTAGATTATCACCTATTGGAAATTTAGCCGTAGTCCCCAGAGCGTTGTGTTTATGTGCGTATGAGAGCATTCGTAAAAGCAAAGTAGAAGAAATGAAAGATGAGCAACGAGTCATATTTATAGCAGCCGATTTGTCTCTCTGTTGGTGTCGTGTGGTGCTGTGGTGGCCGTAAATTCCAATTGGGAACACGGAGCAGGTCGCTCAACGGCGACAGCGACGAGCTCGGTGCCGGGAACGGGCCATAGTTACGACAGAAGACACCAAACAAGAAAAGCCTCTACAATTGTTTGCCGCTGCTTGTGCGACATCATCAGGCAGCTGAAAGCGCCGCTACTACAGAGAACGATTAGCCCGATCGTTGTTTGATTGGAGGCTTACGAGGGACGGACATAGTAATTGGTCATTTGGCTCTAGCTGCAGCAACAACAATTGCAACGGCAACGAGAGCTCATTCGAAGTATGACCAAAAAAGAAAGCCCTGTTTGCGTCTCTATTCTACTAATACCCTCTGATAGCGACATTCTAGGCGTCGATTCTGATCAGCCCTGCCCGATCGACATACAGAAATAACTACAGGAGTCAACAGTGAGTGTGTAATAATAGGAGCAGCAGCTGCGGTAGCGGTGGCAGCACCAGTAGCGGCAGCAGCTATTAGACAGCCGAAGCTCGGGAGGACGAGAGGGTCGCTACGGGAAGGACAAACCCATACACCGTTGTACGACGCGTTCGTCGTCAGAGTAGTCGCATCGACGGCAGCAACATTACCAGCAGTAGCCGGACGACGCAATAATCGCGTCGATTCGGACACCGCTGAAGGACCAGTGGACGGCAAGCACAAGAGAACCCTTTCCGCTGATGCTGATGGTGGCGGGAATCCTGAAAATCTGCGGGGAGAGGCCCCCAACTGACGCCAACCAGTTTATGAAACGGTCGCGGCCAGTCAGGACGCGGCGGCTAGACTGTAGGTCCATCTGATTTGGCCATCAGACGCGCTGTTAGAACTACCGATATCATAGCAGCTGTAATCTGTCGTCCAGAACGAAGAAGGTGAAACGACGACACCCTAGACAAATTGTCGTAAGAAGTAGCAATCATCCTTAGCTGTCCTGCCAGGACACACCGTAAGTGACAAACCAATGAGGTGCTTACGTATTGTTGCGGATCGTTGACGAACATACACGTCCAGAACGGGCGAAACAGACAAGGTAAGTTTTTTAGTAATATAAACTAGTAATAAAAAATGTGATGAAGAGATGAATATCCTCGAGGAGTTATCAAATTAAAGTGTTAGACGACTCACAAAAATCTGAATGTCGAGATGGAACTTTTAGAGAAGCAACCTGGAAACAGCATAAGCACATAAAGTTTAATATGGAAATACGCTGTGTGTAAAACAAATGCCGCAGAGAACTTCCTTGACGAACCACCTCCAGCTGGTTCCATTAACTAAGTTAAGGCGTAAATAATCTATCGTCGTTAGGTCTCCTTCTATACGAGATGCTGCAGAGCGATAATTGGTAAACGAAAAAAGAAATGAACTTACGAAAAACATTGCTTCATAGAAATTTCTTGGATTTTTAAAATATGTGAACACCAGCTTGACTATCGAAGGTCCACTTGTGTTTAGCTGTGTTTAGGAGACAATGACGACGAAGTCTGATGAGAAGTTGCACCAGGTTCTTTTAAAAGATATGCGCTAGGAAGAGGAAGATGATGACCTCTACTGAATCACTCTTCGCCGCCATTTTGTAGGAGACGTCGATGTATATCGAAATATCGATCCTGAAGAGTATTGGCAGTCAAACATTACTCTGGCATAGGTGTCTCCTTGTGTCACTTACAATAAGCATATTTCGTTTGAAGTTTATTTTCTAGGAAACGAAAGAAAGAGGTAGAATTTCATTAAGATACAGATGCATCTAGATGAGATATTTACAGTGAAAATAAAGACCTATGAGGGTCGTGTAACTTAACATCAGGACACATTTATCATGCAGTTGGCGCATGAACCAGTCTAGCCACTTCATGGCACTGACTAGTCTCTATCTATTCATGATGTACGCCTATACGAATGTTCAAACGAGTGTAATAAATCGCTACGGTACCTCTGTCTGACTCCACAGTTCTGTGTTGCCAACATGACAGAACGTCTACATGGACACGAGTCTGTATCTGCACCTACATGGGCAGTGTGTTTAAATTTCTGTAGTAAAAGTGTAGGAATAGCGGCAGATGCAAGGCAGCATTCATCTTAGCGTCTTTTCCATTTTCCTACTGGCTTCTGACAAACACTGAGTGCATTGGAGAAAAGAGCTACAGACGGAAGGTGGATAGGTAGTTTTAGAAACCAGGCCATGCTCGGGGCCTTCGTCAGTGGTTCGTGCTGGGTTGGACGGCAGCGCCTCGCCGAGGTTCGTTGCATATGGACGACGGCTGAAGTGAGATTATGTATGTAACAATGGTACAATATTTATAGCATACAATAGAGACAGAAACGGCAGAATTTAGTATTTTATTACGAGTTGCCATAGTTTTCCGTACGGTGATGCCTCCACACACGATCAGCGGGGCAATATAGCGTATCAAATTATGGGTTATAAAGCAACATGGCGTGCGTCGTTTCGATAGCACATCTCTTGTATAACTTTATATATGTATGTAAGTATAAATATGTGTAACTGTACAAAAAACCCGACGTGGTAATTGTATGACGGTATCACATCACAATGACAACATCGCCATACATAAATGGTAATGAGAATTCGTCACACAACACGAGACGAAACAACAATACAGATCTGGATGCTTCGAGCTTAAACCAGACAATTGGCACCCACCGCGAAACGAAATCTGTGTCTGTCCGTGCCCGGGCTCGAACCTAGACCACGACGTGTTCCCATTTTTGGCAATCAAATATGTAACTCACTAAGCTATGACGGGCACGTGCCTCGTGTCTAGAGAACAATATGTCGGGTTTTGGGTCCAGTCCGTCTGTGAATGATACTAATCGTGTGATTATAACAACAGATGTGCTATTAATGATTAGTCTTATTTTTGCTACTTATCGTGACACCACATATAGATCTTGCAGATATACATAGAAAGAGAAAATAAATACGCAACATAATTTTTGCATCATCTTCTATATCATACGCAAAATATCAGAGCTTTGTACCATATTCCGCCTTATAAATTGACCGGTGTTGATTAAACAAGCATATTGAACATAAAAGCATTTTGAAATAATCACTAGCTAGCAATTTATAATTTACAAAATTGCATCGTAAAGATGAATAGAAGTCGATTTAGTTAAAATATAGCAATCCATGGAAAATTTGCTTCAGTTATGACATCTTTTAACAACGACATATTATACAGTACGCATATACATATATGCATGCACAATAAATTTTGCAAATAACCCAGTTTTCGTTAATCACTACCTGTTCGTTGGCTGTTGCATAGGAGCTCTCTCAGACTACAAAAATAACAGGACAGCTGTCGCAATCTAAAGGTGAATGCGGACCGTAGAGATTTATACAAAAGTAAGTCGTCTATTAGGCACTTCGAGACCTGGAAACCATCACACAGTCGCAGAAACGATTCGAAATCGGACGGAATAGCTTTATGTATATGGTAACATATCGTGTAACGGGTAGAAATGCACTTACCTTGAAGTTGCTTTCATCTGAATTACTGCTGATTAGACAGTATTTGCGACTAATACGAAATTATTATGTATCTGTATAGATGTGTACAATGTACGATACAATCTGATCGAGGCAAGTCAGATTTTTATATGTTAAAGAAATATTGTTATAGACACATACGCCTGCATTTCTGAATAAAAGACGAAGAGCTACCAGGCAACATGTTGAACGGAAGCCTCTTGACAAGCCTCGCCATTAGCCAGCGACCATTCTCACAACCGAACGTTTTCTTTTCGTTATTACTGTCCTTCTTTCGCTCTCAGCCGTAGACGAACC